CTTGAGGATTCATATACTATTTAGTCACAGTGTGTGCTCCCAAGTTGCTTTGGAGTGGGAAAGCTCTCCAAGATATTTAAAAAATTTGACCAGGTTAATTCCCAGTCTCCTCTAATATTCAGCTTTTTTCCTGGCAAAAAGCAGCATTTTTTATTTTTTTATATTTTTTCAAAAATTATTCACCAGATGGTTCTGCTTGCTATGTAAAATATGGCTTTTATTGCTCTTTTAAGCCTAGTGTGCGTCTGTAATATAACAGCAGCATTGTCTGCATAAAGCATGGGGATCTTATGCCTGATACATTTGCACTGTGAAAATCAGGATTATATCAAATATTGATATAGTGGTAACATATTAAACAAAGATGGAGGTAAGATACATCTCAAACACAAACATGCCAGAGTGAATTAACTTAAGTGAATTACACCTAACTTTTAGACACACATTTGAATATAAATTGTACAGCAAGGAAGATCAATACCATAGATGTGTTTTATGGTTTTTTCCAAGAACAATTCTAGGTATTGAATTAAAAGTAGTTTTAAAATCTAAAATGCCCTCATTCAGGAAAGATTTCATTTTCTGAATATAATTTTGCATAAGATGATGAGGGATATTGCTTTGCTCATTTTGTATGCAAATCTGTATTTCTTTTCATTTAGCACACAGTCATGATCAAACCACTTTGTAGTTTACTTCAGATCTTTCTAACTCATCCAGAAATAACATTCTTAGTATTAAGAGACAAGGGTTATTCTAAGCATGAATCCACCTCTAGCTGTTGAAATGAATTTAGGTTTTATGAAACCATCTAATAACTAACAGGTATTTATAGGTATAAATATCCCTAATATGTATATTCTATTCTTCAATCTCCCTCTAAAGAACCATTAACTACTCAGTGTGCTAATCCAAGCTCCTAGCCATCTGTTTTAACATAAAATCTTGCCAGGTGACTTCTTAAGTCCTTTGCTCCCTTTACACATAAAGGTACCTCTAACAATTCCTCCTCATAATAATTCTTAAAGTGCAGAAATAAGGAGTGATCATTTGACCTAATTTTAGTATCCATACTAGATTTGTACTATTATCTGTAATCTGGGCATGCAAACCAAGTGGAGACATGCATATACTAGACAATCTGTGACCTGTTGGGTCATTCTTCTTTCCACATATAATACAGGCTTGAGCGTCTCATCACCCTCAGGAGAACCCCAGTGAAGCAAACTCCTCTCTTCCTTTGCTGACCCACAGAACAGCATGCCACTTTGCTGGAGGGAGGGGCAACCAAGGGAGATGTAGGACCGCAAGGAAAATTGCTCCCCTGCTCCCTATATTGGTGTGTCCCCAAGGGCCCTGTCCCTCTAGGGAGGAAAAAACTTCACCTGTTGACTGCTAGTGCCCCGCAACCAGCATCCAAGTCACTCCCTCATTTTTTCTCCACCAGCCACACCATTAAGAGATTTCAAATTTTGACCTTGATTCCAAAGCAGCCAATGGCTGCTTGCCCTTTGGGCCTTTTTGCCAGCTGAATGGGTATAGGAGCACAAGGGAGATGGGAAAGAGGGCAGGGATATACCCTTCCATCTTCCCTTGCATCAGACAACCTCTGCATTTCTGGGAAGTATAGTCAGAATGCATGGTAGCGCCAAAGTGGTTACAACTTTGCCAAATTTTAGTCCCATGGAAGTCATGGGTTCCGGTTGTTGGACACATTCTGTAAGTTACCCTGTCAGAGGTATTTTGATTCAAAAAATATTTCTGTATGCTGCACCATTTTGCCCAATTGAAGGTTTCAAGGTATCAAACATATGTGAGAGTTTTAGTAGTGCATAGATATATAGATAAAAAGTGTCAGATTGAGACTCAACTGAGAGACTAATACCAATGACTCTAAAGAAACCAATAGATGGTCTTGATTGATACTGAATTGCCTCTTGTTCTTATTAAATGGGGCCATCTCACACACTGAAGATGTGCATAACATTGATCCAAATGCAGATGAGTAGTTCTCAAGTACAAAATATTCTGCAATTAATTGGTAAGCAAGAACACAGTAATTTCAACTTGGTCATCAAAATTGCTTATTTCATTTCTTCACTCTTCTTGGGAATTGATAGAAGTCTGTAACGACTTTGTTGTGTTTGAAGGCTTTATGGATTATTCAGTATGTTATCATATGGAGCAGTGTTAACAGGTGTGGGCATTATTTTGCACTCCTACTCCATGTTGACATTTTACCCAAAGCTTGGAAGACTGTTGGGCAAGATGCCAAAGTACTGTAGAAACAATCTGAGTCTTAAGAGCATTTGGGGAATGACCTATGTTGAAAGGAGAGCACTAATCCCTTAACACCATGAAGAGTAAGGAGATGTATTATCTCTGTCATTACACTTAGGTTCTAAGAATCTGCAAGAGACATTTATAATTATTCATTTGCTATTGCCATGAAGATGGTTTGATTCTTTTCTATTGACAGCATAATTTTAATGGCAAGTCCTTCTCTTTTGTTGCCAAAATGTGAAATCAGCTTACTATCTTAATGTTTGTTTTATGATGAAGAAATGTAATATCCTTGTCAATGTAGGAATTTGTTTTTGTTTTGTAATCCACATTAGCTACCACTATTTTTTCAGAGCAAGAAATACTTTTTTTTATTAAGGCTTTTAATTCCCCTGGCTTATTAGCTTCTCACAGTGGTTCAAAAACAGATACTGTTTTGTGTACAAAAGTTTTACAACCAAGGACAAATCTGTACAGCCATCTAATCAGTTACTGTTTTATCTTTTTCATTCTTCAATACTATATCAACTTCCTCTCCTTTACTTCCATCTACCATTATCTCTTTGGCTGACCGAAATTGTCAACATCTCAGTCTAGTAAAGAATAATATTTAATAACTATAGATACGTTGAGAAGAATTTGTGCTTTTTTGGTATTTTGGTATTTAAACAGTTTTATATTTTCAGCTGCTTATCCATTTTTTGTGGTTTGAATTTCCTTCTGCAGCACTTCCAATGTGATCTTTATCATGCTGCAATGCTCACCAGTTTGCTGCCCATTCAATTTCTCATTTGCAAAGCAACCCAATAAGCAAGGTAGGAATAAGCACTGAAAAATTATTGGTCTACTCCAGGTGGTTGCATGCTAAACAAATTGTCTTCATTCCCACGCCATATCAAAGAGAAAGGACAGTTTACATACAGATACTCTTTGATTTACAACTAGTCATTGAACAACCATTCGGAGTTAAGAATGTTTTGTGACCAATAAAGCACTTCTGGCTATCCTAAAATGTTGTGCTATGCACACTTCCCACCGTCACATTACCTCATTTTGGGTTCTTGGCAACCACATTCATGACTGGTTGCAGTGCCCCCAAGTCATATGACTGTAATCTTTGATTTTTGCTGTTTTCCAGGAAAAAATACCCATTCAGAAAATGAATTTGGACTTATAATCACATGATTTTCTTAACAGCTGCCATAAAAAGTCATAAAATTGGGTCCAGTCATGTGGGTGCCTTGACTTATGACTGTCAAGACTTAAGACTAAAAGTCCAGTCACAATTGCAGTAATAAGTCAAGGACTACCTGTATTCAATTTATCCTTTTTTTCATAAAGTCTGTTTTTATTGGGCCATATGAAAAAAGAAAAGCCTTGGAGGAAGCTGTAAAACTGGCAAGTCAGCCTCTGTTTAAATACTTGTTAGTCTAAATACTAACAAGTTTAAATACAAGTTTAAATACTAACAAGTCTAAATACAAGTTTAAATACTTGTATGTCTAAAAGTCAGGATTGGGGAGTGAAAATAATTTTTGCAAATGGGGAAGCACATTGCTTATAACTTCTAGGACCACAGTACTTCAAAGCTAAATGTAAGTGCTATTATTCTGTAGTTTCAAATATACGTCAACTGAACTAGAAATACATTGGCTCCAATCTCAACTAATTGGAGTTGAGGAGTTGGACTGTGGAGGTCTGAAGCTGGTTTTGAGCTAACAAGAGTCCAAAGAAAGGCCTTTCTGCACCAGGACACTTTGTTAGCTCAAAACCAGCTTCAGACCTCCATAGTCCAACTCCTCAACTCCAATTAGTTGAGATTGGAGCCAATGTATTTGGAAAGGCCTTTCTTGTGGTAATAAATTTCCGTTTCAGAAATGGAATCTGGAGCATTCTAAGTGTCAAAAAAAGGGAGGGGGATATTCTTGTTATGGACTCCCCATCTGAATTAAAAGTTAGGAGAGGAGGGATGAATCAAACACAAATGTCTTGTTCAGTCAGTATTTTTGCACGTAATGAAACATGTAAACATCAGTGAACAGCACCTTGCTTCTGAAGGTTAAGATGGAGACATTAGTTGAAAGCTAGTCCCATATGCTGAAGTGAACAGTTTTTACTGCACTCAAGAAGGCAAGTTCCTCACTAAAAAATACCAACACAACTTGTAGAGGGAAATCACTACTCCCTCATGCTTCTATCTTCAATTCTACATGCAAAAAGATCTTTAGTCTGAATTGGATTAAAGTGTCCAACAGAAGCCTTCAAAGCTTAGTTAAAAGAATAACTGAATTCTGAACATGTATTTTTATTCCTGCAAATGCACAAATAGAATAAGATGGGGAAAACTGACTACAGTCAAATGGGAAGTGTTTCTGTACAGCAATTCACATAAAGAAAACATAAATATGCCTTTATACTTACTTTTGGCTTTTTTTTAATCAGCTGCTTCAAGAAGCTTATGCAGGTTACAAAAAGGTGAGTGGTTTTATCTAATATATTCTGGATGTAACTTCGTGTATAAGCAAATCACGAGATTTATAAAATGTATGCAATTCTGTACCATAGGAAAACTTTCATCGTTCAGATTAATGAAACCTTAATAATTTGTATTTGTGAATATATTTTTTTATCAAGTGATTGAAAAATCGGGATTTTATGGACTACTAACTTACTTGATTTGAGATACTAACAAAAATGATATTAATCCAACACCGATAAAGTGTTAAGAGTTTAATCTTTAATCAAAAGTCCAAAAAGCATTTTTTAAAACCAGAATCAGTTTGCCTCCTCTCTATAGCCACTTCAGATTTCTTTCAGTTATGAGGAAAGTCCTTGCCATTTTTCTGAAAGTAGTTTCATGCAGATTTTTACGCATTTATATTATTGATGCAAACTCTTCTACTGTCAATTTCAAGTAGTCTATGGCGATGGCTATTCTGCCAATGCAAATTCTTTCTTTTGACATCTAAAGTTGAATGCATTTAACATCTCTTTAGTGGTTAAATTGGCTCCTTTCATAATCAATCTCTCACCATCAGCTAGAAAAGAAATTAACAATTTTATTATAGAAGGACAATAAAAAGCAATCAGTGTTAACAGTTCTATGTTACAAAATCAGATAGATCTTTAGTAATGTTATTTTCAATATGAACAAGAATGACAATTTCATTCATTTGAACATCAAATGATAAATTATGCATACAGATATCTGAGATTCTTAAAGAAGGGGTGGCAATACAAACCTAAAGCTAGGATATGAGGTGCCTTTCACTGAAATAAACCCTGCCACAATCTAGCCCAGTGTTTCTCAACCATAGCAATTTTAAGATATGTGGACTTCAACTCCCAAAACTCAGAATGCTAGTTGGAGAATGCTGGGAGTTGAAGTCAACACATCTTAAATATGCCAAGGTTGAGAAATATGGATTTAGCCAAATACTATAAAAACCAAATGACAGAAGATTCCAGGGTTTCAAGTGATGAATTTTAATATTACCTGGAAATGTCCAGGACAAAATCTGTAATCTACACACTCGGGGTCACCACTGAACTACAAGTTCTTACCCACTTCAACACTATTTCCAAAACCAAAATTGGCACCATTTGGCTTGATATACAATGTACTGTACTAAGTGCCCAAAGGTCAAACATCTAATGGAAAAAGAATGCTCCAAAAAGTGTTTTTTCACTCCAGGGGACAGAAACCCTAATCACCATGGTTGCAATCCACATCCAGGTTCCAGGTAATAGATTAAATTAGATTAGATTAAATGATTAGATAACCTTTATTGTCATTTTTTTTACTGTGGGCACATCGGCACACATTAAAAATGAAATTTAGTTGCTTGCTCTCAAAGTGTACACAAACATAACACATTGTTGTATACTATATACAGCGTATGTATAGACCTACACCCTTACATATAAGTAACATATAATAATAAGCCCTAATGATCTAAAGAAAACTTGAATACATGATCAGACATGTTTCAAAGCATGATTTTTAATTGTACTCATACTTTCGCATCTTTTTCTGGTAAAATTCTACATTAATTTTTTAATAGACATCCTATTGTTTTTGTTAAAGTAATTTCATCAGTAATTTACAGTGGCTTCTAGAAGTTACAATAAGCCATCTAGTGGTAAGATTTATTTAAATAAAAGATACTTGAAACAGAACAGATATACTTCAAAACCTTTTTCTACATAACCTCTAATACTTCTAATTCTTTTAGAACTCATGATATTTTGAGCATTAGACAATATTTCCTGCTATTGGTTACATTAAGATATTTCTTACCAAATGTGATGTCTATAACTGGTTCAGATCCATCATGTTTTACTTCTGTTTTCACATTACAGTTCAAGTTTGATTTATATGCCTTCTTTTCAAATAGACATTGAAGAAAATTTCTGAAAAGAAGTTGGAGAGGGATCAGAAAGCCTGTAAAAATGTATGTATATATCTTGTCAACAACTTGTTATGTAACTGTTACATACAAAGCAGCAATATTTTCATGTAAAAGATAAAAGGAGGCCTACTTAAGAGATCTATGATATATATAAACACAAGATTGTCTTAACTGCTGAGTTGCTTTGTGCAGTATCAATATCCATCTGCTATATGATACTAAAATGCTAAGCTATTCTATAGCCATTGTTCAACATGTCATGTGAATTCAGGCAAGAGTCAAACTGTAGTTAAAGAGAATATTAACTACAATGTGATCATGGTTATTGTAGATGTAGCCATGATCTAGACCAGGGGTCTTCAAACTTGGCCCTTTTATGACTTGTGAACTTCAACTCCCAGAATTCCTCAGCCAGCGTGCCTGGCTGAGAAATTCTGGGAGTTGAAATCCACAAGTCAGAAAAGGGCCAAGTTTGAAAACCCCTGATCTAGACTGTCAACTGACCTGACTTAATCATAAGGAGGCATGATAGCAAGCTTACAATTAAATTGCCATTAGCACTCCCAGAAATTTGTTTTAAGATGTAGAAATACCTATACAGATGCTCCTGCAGCAGAATCACCATTTCTCCTATTTATTTTTCACCACCTGCTCAAGGGGATGACAGCTGATCAATATCCTGGCACTTTCAGATGAAACAAATTCCAGGTCTATTTTAATCAGGATTTAATCCTAAATCCAGTACTGAACAGATAGTTATTACAATACTTTTGCATTTTCTGGACATTTCAGACTCATTTCATCCCATTCTTTTTTTGAACTATTACCATTTGGTAGATGGTACAGGATAATAAAAACAAAGACAAATAGGCTGAAAAATAGTTTTTATCCCAGAGCTGTAACCATATTAAATACCACAGTATAGTGCAACATTGAAGTGAAATATTAGGGCAGTACAATGGTGAATAGAATGCAAAGAATGTGTGTATATAATGTATTTGTGGTTTTTATTTGTATGTAGTGTGCACTTAATTTTGTTAATTTTGTTGTGAGTTACACAATGACAAAGATATTCTATTCTATTCTGTGTATTTTCTTCTGCAGGGTGCTCATAGAAACCAAAGTCTAATACCAAATGCTGGCTCGTGAATTAAAACAGAATTTAAATGCAACAGTTACGACCCTTTCAAGATAGGATGCCCCTCCATCATCTTTGTTTCCCACAAAGTTAAAAAAAGGAAACAAAAGGCAAAAGACCATTTGCATCCAGATAATTTATTCCTCAGTCCCATTCTATTGTTCAGGATTTAGCCCCAAACGAGCATGTAGCGCATCCCAAGGATGGGCAGCTCATTCCTTGCAAACGGCGTTGTTTTCTAAGCCTGCGATCCCCATTACACACAACAGTCTCCCATGTAAAAAAGCCTTCGCTTTTATAGTCCGATCCGGAAACTCCGGGCTGGCTTTGCAAGCTCTGGGAAGCCTCACTCGCGATCCTTCTCACCTGGTGCTTTGCACATTGGACTCGAAAGGACAAAAAGTGACCAGGACGGTCTTCACCTGCTTGAGCGACACACCAGCCCTCTTCGGGAAGATGTACGACATTTTGTCCCACGGGCTACTCCTTAGTAACCGGAAAACTACAATTCCCAGAAACCCATTCAGTGCGCTTGTGCCGGGCAGTTGTCTAGGCGCTTAGCTTTCTGGGAAATGTAGTTCCTTATCTTATTACCGCACCGCAGATTCGTTTGAAGTCCTTCGGTGGGACCACGCGCACGTTCGTCAAGTTTTATTTCCAGGAGCTGTTTACACATCGTTAACTAATGTGACTTGCTGGCTTCCGCTATGTACTTCTAATCTATACTATAGCAGAATCATAAGCAAACAACTGGAGTTGGATTACAACATGAGTTGGCTATTTCGTAGTTTATGCGAATTTTGTTTCCCACACCATTAAAGAAAAAAAAAAGGCGTCTTTTAATTGTTTGAGGACGCTTTCCCATTTAAAGACAAATGATCTTTTGGCAAGAAATCCCAAAACAAAATTAAGCAGCATCCCGTATGTTTACTGAGCATTCAGTCTGTTTGACTTTTGAGGGATTTACTTCTGAGTAAACATACTCAAAGCTATAATAAAGAATACCTTCTGATGCCCCATTTTTTCCTCTGCTGGTTGACTTCTGTTTGCTCTATGCATGTATGCAGAGCTGCTCTTCATAAGTGATTTGAAAAGTTCAGAGAATGCATTATGAGTTTCTTTCTTTGGGTTTCAGTTTGATTAACAACAGCAATCCTTGGAAGAGAAGGTTGGAAAATAGCACCTTCCTTGCCAGAAATCTCCATATGATGAGGTTTAATCAATCAAATGAATGATATGCAGTCCATACGTAGGTACAGGTACACAGAAATGCAACAGTATCCTGGGTGCACTAAAACAAAATGCCAAAGACTGAGAGAAAGCAAACAGTGACTTATGGGTAAAAATGCCAAGAGGCAGGACATGAACTTTCATGATCAAGAACTGCCCAAGAACAGCTAGATTCCTCTCCAAGTCGTCTTTAAATTGTAATAATATTCCATGACAAGATCAATGAAAATTAGCTGCCCAGAAGCTAAATACGTTTAGATTATAAAAGGGACAATAAATAGAACTCTGTGAGAAATGTGCAGTGAGTATAAGAGTGTTCCTCATGAATATATTCTCTGCGTTATAGCTTGCTATTTTATTTGCTGTTTTGATTTGTGTATTTTAAAATCTTAAGCTGTAAGATATGTGTTGTCTATCCTTGAAAAAAAAAAAAGTGATGTATATTTAGAATATAGCATTGTATTTTGATCCTGGCTGAAATATAATATTTTTGGCCATCCCACAGTATGTTGTTTTTCTGGCAAAAACAATACATTGAGCAAACAATACCACTGAGGAAGTCTCAATGAATATTAAATTCAGCACCTCGTGGACTGAATGTAACAATAAATAATTGAAGAATTCTTTTCTATTTTCCTCAATTATATTGTAACTGATGTTATTTAAATGGCTTCTTATGGAAAATCCTGAAATCTATTGATGCTAACTTTTCATAGATGCAAATCTACTTTCATTGAATGTATATTGAACCTTCATCCACATGATGGCAGCCTTCTCCCACAGCACTTCATATGATACTTTTTTAAAAATCAGTATCTGTATTTTCTAAGCTTTAATTCATATTTTCCCAGTTGGGTAGTTTCCATATGTGTTGAGTTACACCTTGCCCAGTTTCTTTCAGCCAGTTGAAATAATGGGTGTACAGTATATCTGGAGGATGTCAAATCAGAAAAAGCTGCTTTGAAAACTTTTGGAACATGGGTCAAAACTTGGGTCAAAACTTTTGACCCATGATGTCATCAGACTTGCTTGCTTGATGTAACAAACTAACACACTTCTGCTTCTTGAAATTAATCCAGTAATAGATCAAAATAACATTCATTGTCCAGGGAACTTTGATGGATATTGAAGACTTTAGATTTTTCCTCCTACTATATTAAATAGGAAAAAAAATGATCCACTGCTATTACTATTGATATAATAATGATTTTCAAGGCTTCTCTTACTGGTAATACAGAAGGTAATGCAGAATAGACAAAAATAAGAAAAGCTTTGCCTATACTTTATAACTATGACAACTCTGTATAGGAGGAAAAATTACAATAGTTAAATGGTTCATTACAACTTTGAAAGGAAGGAAAAGCTCATATTTCCTCTGAATTTTAAATGCATAAAGTGGAACGTGGATGCAAAAACAGAGAGTGTTCTAATCCAAGGGCATCTGCAGTGGGATCAAAAAGGTCAAGATGATGGCTGTCACCCTGTGATTAAAACCCCAAACCTTCTAAAGCACATTCTATACATATGTGAGTGTGATTTTGATTGCACAGAGCTGCAACCATTTTTTACTTTTATAGTAAGAAATTTCACCAAGTATTTTAAGTGAATCTAGCCCAGAATTTTTCAAATTTGGCAAATTTAAGATGTATGAATTTTCCAGACAGCACGAATGGGCCAACTTTCAGAATTGCTCAGCCAGAATTCCCCCAGTAGGTTGCCTGGGGAATGTTTAGGGTTAAAGTCCGCAATCTTAAAGTAGCCAGGTTTGAAAAAAAACTAATCTTGCAAAACTCGTTTAGACTTGCAAGAGAAATCACAAAAAGGCCATAAACAAAACATTTAAAAAGAGACTTTAGAAACTCCATAGTGTCTTTCCAATAAACTATAGTTTAATGTACTCGGAAGTCCTACGTTGTGCTTTTAATGGTATATAATACCAAGACTTCTTTGCTGTTTTATAGAACTACTTTGAAGATCTTACACCTGCAGTATTTGCTTTTATGTATCAGTCACTCAAAATAATAGCAGCATTGCCTACTTTTCTGTATTTTTTTTAAAAAAATAGGAGATCTAAATAAAACAAGATGCTTCCATTAGCAAATCTTTTTAATAGTTTTTCACACAGTCGCTTGACAAGAGGCAGCATTAAAATTTGATTAAACAAATAAATACATGATTTTGAGTTTCAGTCTTTTTTTAAAATAAAAGCCTGTGAACATAGCTTCCACAGAGTATGAAATTTTGCATTATTATTTACAAAGTGTAGTGCAGGTAGTCCTTGCTTAACAACTTTCCTATTTAGCGACCACTTGTAGTTAACAGTGCTGAAAAAGGCACTTTATGACTGGTCTTCACTCTTACAACCATCACAGCATCCTTTCAGTCATGTGACTGAGATTTGGGCACTTTGCAACCTATGGGCATATACATAGAATCCCACTGTCACATGATTGCCATTTGCATGTGTCACAGCCAGCTTCTAACAGGTAGAGTCAATGAAGAGGTCAGCAATAAAAAATTATGGTCATGTGATGCCATCACATTGCTTAGTGAGGAAGTTGCCAGTTGCAATAGTGATCATTAAGGACTACCTATATTAGGTCTCTGAAGCTTGACTAATAGAGCTAGAAATTAAACAGGAAAAATAATGCATGTTTGCTTTTCTTTCAGAGTATCTTTTCCCAGTATGACAGACCACCTCTGCAAACTGATCACATAGCAATTGTTTGAAGTGATGACAATCCCCCCCCCGAAACAGACTTATGGCCCAGTTTCAAAGTTCTGATGTTGGGAGACCCCCTGCAGTCATGTGACAAATTTTGGGTGCTTAGCAACCAGCTTGCATTTATGGCCGTTTGCAGTGCACCACAGTCACATGACCATGATTTACTACAATTTTGTTGGAAACTGGCATTTGCTTCCAGTTTCTGACAAAAACCAGCCCATAGTGAACAATGGATTCACTTAATGACTGCCATGTTCCCTTAATGACCATTGCATTAACTTAATGACCACTGTGGTTACTTAATGACCACCATGATAAAGGTGGTAAAATCAGGTCCAGTTACAAGGTGACTGGCTTTACGACCATCATGATTTATGACTGTAAATGCCATGATCAGTTGTGCTTGTAATTATACGACTACGTGTAGTATACTTTCACTTGAGAAAACTGAAGGAAAATGAAAGCACAATCAGATATCATACAGAGTAAGGAAGGAAAATAACCTTGACAGGGACAAAATAACCCCAGATCCATTTTTATTTTGTTTTGTTTGTTTGTTTATTTCCTGCTTTTATTAGTTTTACAAATAACAGAGTGTCAGATATATGCAATACACCTTCCCCACAACAATAACTCTGTAAGGCGAGTTGGGCTGAGAGGGAGTGACTGGGCCAAGGTCACCCAGCTGACTTTCATGGCTAAGGCAGGACCTGTTTTCTAGCCAGGGTAAAAAGTGTGACTCAAACCCAAAACAATCCATGAAGGGAAGGAAACACATTAGGCACCTCATTAGCTTCACTGGAATATAAGGAGGTGGTGAGGAGGGGAAAAGCACAATCAGACTTGCAAAAGTTTTGGGAACTGCAGTCTCAACAGCTTTGAAGTGGGCCTGTTCAAGAAGACTATATTTTAGTTGATCAACTAAGCATCACAACCATACATACAACAGAATAGGGCTACTCACAAGGGAATGCAGACATTACAAAATTATTTAACTTTATTTTGTGCTGAAACATCCACTTGTCTTTCTTAAAAGAAATGACCTCACTCAAATGTTACATCAAGACAGCCTTTCAATTGATTTTTTTAAAATAGCAAAATATCTGATAAACATTTCTAAGTGGTATTGATCTTTTACTGACTGAGAATACCCTGGATACCCTGAAATTGTCTGACATATTTTGATATTTTTCTTTTTAATAAGTAAGAAAGCAATTAATTCATGCGTTGAACTAAGGCATGGTTTGTTTCACTGTAGATCAATCTTTGGATGCCAAAACTGTGATGGCAGTTTTTCCATGGACAGGGTGTGTGTGGTTTCGCAAGCTGCCTAGATCCCACACATGCATAGATGGGGCTTTGCTTCCTTGTGCAAACTGGTTCCTGGCAAGACACAGTCCGGTGCCAGTCCATGGCCCAGAGGTTGGGAACTCCTGCTGAAGAATAAGCCACAATCAACTGGCTTCAGCTATTTCATTATGCAGTAAACCATAGACTGGCATCCTAACACCTCCGAGCAGCTTCCAAGTTCTTTTTTCTTTTACA